TCATTAGGAAAATACAAAGTCAAAGCCACAGTGAGATCCCACACTACACCTACAAATATGACTACCATTCTTTTAAAATGTTAAATGACAAGTGAAAGCCTTATGTAGAATTTGGAATCCTCATACATTGCTGGTGAGATTATAAAAAGGTACAACCACTAGGAGAAACAGTTGTGCTGTTCCTCAAGAAGCTAATCATAGAATTCTCATATGAAACAGCATCCATTCCTAGGTATGTACCCAAAGAATTGAATCCAGGGACTCAAACAGGTACTTACATGGTAATGTTGATTGCAGCATTACTCACAAAAGATAAAATATGAAAACAATTCCAAATGTTCATCAACACATGAATAAACAAATGTGGTCACACATACAACAGAATGTCAATCTGCCATAAAGAGGAAGGAAGCTCTGACATCCGCTGTTACATTCAAGGACTTTGGAAACATTATGCTAAGTGAAATATGTCAGAAACAAAATAACGTATTTGTATAATTCATATATGTATAATTCAAAATAACATATATGTATAATAATTTATATGAAACATCAAAAATAGGCAAATTCATAGAGACAAAGTAGAGATGATCAAAGTCTAGGGTAGAAAACACAGGGAGTTATTATTGTTTCAAAGATACAAAGTTTCAGTTTAAAATGAAAAAAATTTTCTAGGAAAAATAGTGGTGATGGCAATTAAACACTGTGTATGTGGTTAATTCCACTTGATTGCATATTTTAAAGTAGTTAAAATAGCACATTATTCACAGAACTGTGAAAAATCGATTTCTATTATTTACTTCACACAGGCTAAGATGTCTGTTATGGCAGCTGAAGCCTATGAATACATCATCTGACCCAGTGTTTTCAATGAAATATATCAGTTTTTCAATCAAGCTAGCTGGAAGCTCCTGTCCCCAGAAGATCCAGAGATCCCAAAACAAGAGCTAAAGCAGGAGTTCAATCAGCACAGGTCCCATAGGGTAGTCTCGATGTCAGGCCCTGGATGGCATGTGAGGTTATACTGATACAACCACAACATGAAAGTGTAAGTGGTTTTACTACTTACAGACACTGGGGAGCAGTCGGCACACCTGGAAACCACAGATACAGAGGTCAGTGAGCCCGGGCAGGGAGGAGAGAAGACACTGGTAAGCCAGTGGCTTTAGTAAGTCCAGGTGTTATCTGACAGGTTTCCAGCAGGGAGCTTTAATGGATGTGTGTAAAGCAAGCAGCAAACACTGGGACCTGGAGATCATGCTGTGACTGAGAAGTGGTCACTTTAAATGTAAGGGCAAAAGTCAGAATTATCAGTTTAAAGAAAGCAGCTGGAGAGAGGGGAGCCCAGCACACCAAGTGGGAGAGATGCCTCTAAGATTTTATCTCTGGCCACCAACTGGAGAAACTTGAACCAGATACAGTATTGAAAACTGCCATGGTGAGCAAGGCCTGCCTCTGATGTGAGGCAAATAAACTTACACCTTAAAAAATGAATGCCAAGGCAGCATGACACTATAAGCACTTATGACACCCAGGGACAGCAGCAGGGTGTGGTACTGCACCCTGGAGTCAGAATCCTGGGTTCTGGTCCCTTGGCTTGAGAAAATGAAAATGACTTGTCCACACTCCCCTGGAATTGATTCTCCCGCGTTGCTGCTCCGTCTTCTGCTCCCAAACCCATGTGCAGTGCACAGCCCTGGACATCAGTGTCCCCAGGGTATACACAGTGACCTCTACTACACACAAACACAAACTCACAGAAGGTGACAAAAATCTGCATTTGGGACAATCTGCCATTGTGAAAGAGGGAGAACAGTGAACGTAGAGCCACAGAGACTGGGACTCACGGGGCTGTAAGGTGATGGACCTGTAACATAACATATGTGTGACCTCGTGTGAAATGTGCAGATCCTTGTGGAATAAAATACACAGCCTAGCCTGGGACTTTGGCCACCCACACTTCCCCTCCAGTCCACCAGAGGGCAGCAGAGTCCCTCCCAGCCTGGAGCCTTCCCAGGGGATGCAGACCACCCTCAGCAGAACCCATAGCCAAGCAGGGTCCACCCTCACGGGGATAACCTCGGCCCAAGTCCTAGCGCCGTCCGTGCTCCCACATGGACTCTGTCAGCTCCTCCCTGACCTGGTGGCCGCCAACCTAACACCACTCCCTCTGCAGGCAGCTCCTGCCCCACACACCTGCTCCTTCCCTGGGATCAGCTAAAAACACATCTCCCAGGGCAGCGCTGGTGCAGGTGACACCACACTGGGCGCTTTCCCCTCGTGACCTCTCTCCATCCTTTCTGTCACTGCTCCCTAAATGTCCGCCCCTGCTCCATGTGTCCTGTTCTCTGGGGCATCCTAGGCCAAGCCTAGCACTGACACAGAACAGCAGTTGCCTAAGGGCCCACAGACTCCCTGGGAATCAGTCCGGCACCCTGTGACCTCTCTGCCCACTGCACCCCATGGGGCGAAGAGCGCGTGTGATCGTCACACACAGGCACCATCCAGGATGTGGTCACCTACCCACGGTTATCTCTAGGGAAGACAGACCTCTCTTGTGTCCCTGCCGGGAGAAGAGGGTATAATTGTTCTTTGCTTCCAAAACACAACTCACCCCCACCTGCTCTCTCAGGAGTGAGCAACATCCCTCCAGAAAGGCTCTCTGGTGACTGCTTGTTCCTCCTCTACAGAGAGCAACTTGGCTAGGTCAAAACCCTCAGGACAGACCCCTGGGTATGTCAGCACATGGAGGGCTGAGCCCATCATGACCACAGAGTAAGTCAGGATGAATCTTTCCAGCTCTGAACCCCTGCTCTGTCCCAGGCTCCCCTTCCTGCATCTCAACGAGCCATGTTCCAAGGAATTCTTGGGTAACTCCCCACTTCCTCCTGCACCACCATAGGGAAGGTGTGGTAATCATAGGACATAGGGCAATCTGCTGGACAGAAAAAGAGGACACCAAAGATGGTCAGGAAGAAATGAGAAACCCTGAGCTCCAGCTCAGCCACCAGACCCCAGAGAGCAATAAAGTGACTGAGAACTGTCCCTTTGACCATGGGACTCACAGCCCCCACTGAGCAACCACCACAGGCCTCTCCTCCCAAGAGGCATGAGAGATTCACTCTGAACAGCTCCAGGAAGCATAGTTTCCTCTGAGACACCCAGGTCCTGAATGTCCAATCTTGGAAGCTGCAACCAAGCTAGACACAACTAGAGAAAGAAGGGTCCCTGTCACCAGGCAACACACAGCTCACCCACAGCACAATGGGGTGTCCCTGTGACAGGGACCTGGTGCAGCTCCAGCCTCCTGCACTGAAGGGGAGAGCCAGATGGGGATGAAAGAGGGCAAAGGCCATGAATGTGCACCCAAACCCAGAGCCATGGGGACAGCAGGAGGCTGAGGCCCAGGACTGTGCCCAACCTACAGGGTATGTGTGTGACTGTGTGTGTCTGTGCGTGTCTCTTTTGTGTATGTGTTTGTGTTTCTGCACATAGTGTGCATCGAGGTGTGGTGACAGAATCACTGCTGAAAAAGACAGAGGCCTCCACTATTCCCAGTGACTTGACACACAGACAAAAGGAAAAAGAGAAGGAGGGACAAGGGGCAAGACTGAGAGGGGAGGGGACAGAGAGGTGTCCTGGGCACATACCCCACCCATGAGCCTCAGAAGTACTCCTGCCCCGGGAAGAGGCTCAGCACAGAAGCAGGAAGGACAGCACAGCTGACAGTTGTGCTCAGAAAGTTTCTGGATCCCAGGCTCATCTCCACAGAGGAGAACACGCAGGCAGCAAAGGCCATGGGGCCCCTCTCAGCCCCTCCCTGCACACTGCACATCACCTGGAAGGAGCTTCTACTCACAGGTGAGGAGAGAACTTCCTGGGAGAGGACAGGAGGAGGAAGCAGAATGATTGGATGGGGTTTCCTGGACAAGAATATCTTGGACATCCTGTTCCTGGACAGGATGGCGTTCTAAGAAATAAAAGAAGCCAGCAGTTTGGGAGGGTGAGGTGGGTGGATCGTGAGTTCAGGAGTTCAAGACCAGTCTGGTCAACACAGTGAAGCCTAGTCTCTACTAAAAATACCAAAAATTACCCAGGTGTGGTGGTGTGCTCCTGTAATCCTAGCTACCTGGGAGGCTGAGGCAGGAAATTTGCATGAACCTGGGAGGCAGAGGTTGCGGTGAGCCGAGATCGCGCCACTGCACGCCAGCCTGGGCGACAGTACGAGATTCCGTCTCAAAAAAAAAAAAGAAAGAAAGAAGAAACAAAAAACAGGAAAGAAGGCTCTGTTGTAGCCTGGATAGGGGAAAATACACCAGAGAGGGACAGGGGTTAAAACAGGAAAATCACATTGAACAGGAATTGGTAAGAGGTAGGAAAATCTCAAGTGTTCTGTTTCCCTGGTTAATCAGCACTGGACACCACATTTTGTAAACTGATAATAATAACTATTATCAGATGACACTTCAAATGAAAATATAAGCAGGGCATGAAACACTGTCCTCAGCAAAAAACCTCAACTATTGGGGAAAGAAAAAAGAAACAACCTAGGCATGGAGGGCCCTGGGAACTCTCACATTTCCAGAAGTCTGCAGCCTGTCCCAGGCACTGCGGTGCAACCAAGATCACAAAAGTCACTGTCCTCATGGAGCTCACACTGTCATGGGGAGGAAGACAGACATGCAAAGAGATCTAGAATGTGAGGTCAGGTGTTGATAAGAGCTGCGGAGGGAGCAGAGCAGGGAAAGGTCAGAAAAGGAAGACCCAGGGTCTCTGACGGAAGTATCAGGAAAGAAGTCTAAGGATGCCCTGATGTGAGCAGGACCTGAGGGCAGTGTGGAGGGAGCCATGAAGATCCTTGGGGAAGAGGATTCCAAACAAAAATGCCAAGGTCAGAAGGGTTGAAGGAATGGGGGTCATGCTGCTGACCTTCACCCAGTAGGACAGTAGGACACACACACACAAAGAGGTGTGTGTGTGTCCTACTGTCCCCTTTGTGTGTGTGTCCTACTGTGCTCCTGGGGTGTGTGTGTATCTTCAAGGCTGATGATTGAAGAGATCTTCTCAGGACCCAGGGCCCAATGCTTTCACCCCCATACATAGGTCTCAATATTGACTGATGCTCTCTCCACCTCCTAGAATCACTTTTAATCTTCTGGAACCCACCCACCACTGCTCAAGTCATGATTGAAGCCCAGCCAACCAAAGATTCCGAGGGGAAGGATGTTCTTCTACTTGTCCACAATTTGCCGCAGAATCTTACTGGCTACATCTGGTACAAAGGGCAAAAAACGGACCACCACCATTATATTACATCATATGTGATAGACACTGAAACAATTATATTTGGGCCTGCATACAGTGAACGAGAAACAGTATACTCCAATGCATCCCTGCTGATCCAGAATGTCACCAAGAATGGCACAGGATCCTACACCATACAAATCATAAAGCGAGGTCATAGGACTGAAGGAGTAACTGGACATTACACCTTATCCCGTGAGTGACTCCACATAATCCCTGGGTGTTGGGGGGCGGGGGTCACTTCTACTTTGCACACACAGGATTGTCAGGCCTAGACTGTGGCTGTGTCCCTCTCTGTGTTATGTCCCATGTTGGGGTTTTGGCATTTAGTGCAGGACACACACAGAGGAGACAAACTTCAGCAGATCAGAATTCCTTTCCTGCCTCCAGACCCTGCAGACACTTGCTGCACAGGAAGGACAGTCTGATGGGAGGGGGGATGTTCAGCACGAGGAGATCAGCCTCAGCCAAGCACCTCATGCCCTCTTCATAAACTTGACCCTGAGAAAGACCCTGGAGAACTGAGTAGGGCTTTGCCTGAGAGGCCCCTTGAGATACTCTCAGAGAAGCTCAGTCCTAGAAGCCTCAACCCCAGACCTCTGTCCCTAAATCCTTACTCCAGATAAAGCTGAGGAGCCTGTGCCATGGCTGGGTTGTGGCAGGGCTTACTGGGACCAAGGATTTACCAGCTGTTTGAGGACTGTGTCTCCTGGAGCTGCTCACCAGCCAGGGCTCAGCCCTCAGAGCCTCATCTGGGCAAGGACAGAGCTTTCTTCACCGGAGACACAGAGTGGAGAGGACAGAAAGACAAGCTTTGTAGGCCATCAGTCAAATGCTCTGTGAGGCTTAGGACACTCCGTAGAAACTCTAATGTCCCCAGAAGCAGAAACAGAAGAGAGAAAATGTACCTGGCAGCAGCTTGTCCAGAGTTCTGACCTAAAGGTGCTCTCTCATGGAAGTGAATAATAATAAATGCTGTTTGTGTGAACACCTCCACTGTGCCAAGCATTAGGTCACGTGACTGTGAAGAATTTACAGTTTATTCACAGATTGCATGAAAAGCCACAGTCCATTTGCCATTTCGTTTTTATGACTGAGAGAAAACTGAGGCACAGGAAGGCACAGTCACTGAACCAGAGTCACACAAACACAAAAGGCAGATCAGGGTCACATGAGGTCTGTCTGCAGCCACAGGCCCATCCTCTCCTCCATCAGAAGTGAGGAATTACTGGGATCCCAGGACCCCATAGTCATTCATTGGCTCAAATCCTCTCTTCTTAGGCATCCAAACCTCAGAGGAGTGAGAGCAAATGGTCAGCTGATTAGTCTGTTCTCCAGAACTAAATCACCTGCCTCAACTGTCAGAGTCAGTGCAAAATACGTCCAGGCCTCCCCCTCAGATCTTAACCCCTATCACTGAACCTGAAATCCTGTTTCCCAAAGTGTCCATGTCACTGGCATGACAGGATAAAGGAGAGGAGCTTGTTTTCTTTCCCCACTCACACCCCGCACCAGCACAGGCCCAGTGAGAGACACACACTCAGGAGCTCTCACATAACAAATGAAGGAATTGAATGAAGAAATGAATGATCCATAACCTCTTTAGAGACTGGATCTCAGATGCAGAATCCTAGGAGGTTCTAGCCACACCTGTCCCTTGTCCTTCAGAGGCTGACACCCATGTTTCATTCCCCGACAACCTCTTGCCATTAAAAACACCCCACCTCATGTAACTCTGAAGCTTCTTGGGCACTGGAGGGTTTTCAGGGCTCCCTGGTCCTGGACTGTGGAAATGGGGACACCTAGTCCCGGGGGTCTCTGAAGTCACTGTAGCCCCCACTGTTCACTGCCATGCTGCCTCTGCCTCTCTCTGCTTCTATGTGTCCCTCATCTTTCTCCCACTTCATTCTACCTGGCAAGCCCTGTCCTGCACAGCTTCTTCCTCCACCCCTAGGCCTTCCCCAGGCACTCCCTCTAACTAGACTGACTGTTCTGTTCCCTTCCTGCTAACACTGTGGAACGGCTCACCTCCCAGGAAATGGGAAAGGCAGAGAAGTCACCCGGAGTTGCCACTCCTGCCAGGCTTCATCTTGAGCCAGTGTCCCCAGGTCACTAAGAGAATAAGCTTCTACTGTATCCCCACCCAGGGCTCTTTCCTTTGTGAGGCTGTTCTGTGGACAAGACCATGGAACATGGATAGACAGCTCCTCCATCCACTCTTACAATTCCCAGACAAGTTCTTCTGGCCTCCTGCACAAACAAAACCAATTTATCCAGAAGGTGATTTGCAGTAAAGAAAGATTTTAATGACTCCAAGTCTGCCAAACAGGAGGATGGAGGTTTATTATTACTCAAATCAGCCTCCCTAGTGGATCAGGGGTTAGAGATTTTCAAGGATAGTTTCAGGGACACAGGAGTAAAAAATGGGTACTGCTGATTTTTTGAGGATGGAATCATGCGGGCGGAGGGAAATGATCTGTTTGTGCTTGAATCTGACTCTAGATGGGGACCACGTGACTGGCTGAGTCATTAGTCATGGGTATGGATGAGATCAGCGGGTTGCCAGAATGCAAAGAATGAGAAAGACCATTCTTTCTCAAAAGACCAATCTCAGGTTCTACAATAGTGATGTTATCTATAGCAGCAATTAGTTACAAATTTTGTAAACTCTGACCAAATGACATTTAAGCAGTATGAGATTATAGAAACTGTGCCTCCATTTTAGCAGAATTCAGTTCCCTCCTATAATCTTAGTCTCATGGTCTTTCACCAGTTTTACAAAGGCAATCCCTGGGCAAAGTAAAGGTATTAGTTTTATGGAGGAAATATTTTTCTTCCTTCAAAATTAAACCATAAACTAAATTCCTCCCATGGTTAGCCTGGCCTATGTCCAGGAATGAGTGAGGACAGCCAGCCTGAGACTAGATGCCACATGGAGTCAGCCATGCCAGTTTGCTGTCACTGTTGTAATCTTTGCACTGACTCACCAGGGTGTCAGAGGCTGGACAGGCCTGCTGTTTCCCAAGCCCATGGGCTGATTTCACCCATTTCATTCGTGACTCCATCCTCAACCTACCATGGAGCTCACATTCTCCAGTCACTTCCTAGAGACTTTTGGTTTCTTGTCAGGCGTATAACAAGCTTCAAATTTGTCACTCGCTTCTAAGAGTAAGTAAAAAGCTGAACAAACTGAAAAGTCAACAACTCGTTAAAATCCCTCAGAGATGGCCAGTCACAGTGGCTCACGCCTGTAATCCCAGCACTTTGGGAGGCCGAGGTGGGTGGATCACGATGTCCGGAGATCACGACCATCCTGGCTAACATGGTGAAATCCCGTCTGTATTAAAAATACAAAAAAATTAGCCTAGTGTGTTTCCGGGCACCTGTAGTTCCAGCTTCTCTGGAGGCTGAGGCAAGAGAATGGTATGAACCCGGGAGGCGGAGCTTGCAGTGAGCTAAGATCGTGCCACTGCACTCCAGCCTGGGCAACAGAGCGAGACTCCACCTCAGAAATAAAAAAAAAGAAAAGTTCTGTTAGAGAAATGAAGAATGCTTTTGATGCTTTCTGGTAGAATGCACGCAGCTGAGGAAAGAATCCCTAACTTGAGGATGTTTCAGTAGAAACTTCCAAAACTGAAGCAGGAAAGTTCAAAAAGAGTGATGGGAAAAAAAGTGGAACAACATATTCAACTTCATATGTGACATTTTGTACTCACAATTGCAATTTTTAAATGTTGTAGTTGTGGGACAACTACCAAGGCTGTAACACACACGTAATGGGAATACTGGTGGTTTTGGGGACCTGTTGGTGGTGGCCAGGTGGGTGCTATCTGGTGGTTTTACTGCCTGTGGCACATATGATTGTTTCCTCATGATGATGCTGTTTTCATAGGTTGGGGTTCTTCGTGTGGGAGGCACATGAGCCATTGGCGTCTCACTTGGACTCTTCCTAATTCACACAAACTGAAACTCGAGTTGTATTTCCTGAGGTTGAGAGAAAATGAAGAAAGCATTTCACATACCTGTTTTCGGCTCTTCCCCATTTTTCCTAACTCTACACAGAAATTAGAAACAGGAAGCTCTTTCTATATTTACTAACATAACACTCATCACTTCTTTTAATTCAGCATCATTCCTCCCTTTAAGTAATTGACACACTGACCAGTTCTGTCCTTTTAACGGGACTCTTTCTACTAAAGGACTTGCTAACTTCAAATCATCTTTGGCATCTTTCTTTGAGCATGTGATCCTGCTGGAATTCATGGCACACCTAAAATTTAATTGGGTATCAAGACAAATACTACTATCAGCAATTGATCTTAGATGTTTGGACTATCAGTAAAACTTTCCACTTATGACAACATTTTAATGTTTCCGCCAAATCTTTTTTTGTTTTGTTACTAGAGTCAGAACATAACATGAGTTCTAAACTCTTGACAACATTTTATGCAAAAATTACAGTATTACAAATTGAGCATCCCAAATCCAGAAATCCAAAATCTGAAATGCTCCAAAATCCAACACTTCCGACCACTGATGTGATGCTAGAAAGAAGTGCTCACTGGAGCATTTTGGATTTTAAATTTTTCAGAGGTAGGATGCTAAACCAGTATATCTACGGCAAATATTCCAAAATAAAAAAAAGTTAGAAATCCAAAACACTTGGTTTTAAGCATTCTGCATATGGAACACTTTATCTGTATGAATTATAGGCATGAAGCTGTACTGGAGATCTCCCGAACCTCTTCATCCTGCGTAACTGAAACTGCACACCCACGGAACCATGCCCTATTCCCCCGACCCCAGCTCCTGGAAACTATTATTTTACTCTCCGATTCGTTCTGGAATCCACTGAGGTGAGGTACATAGAGTAGTCAAACTCACAGAATCAGAGAGTAGAATGTCTAATGAGAGAAAGTATCTGCAAGACTTCTTCCCAAACATTGGTCTAATAGCCACCAAACCCGTGTGGTCCATGAGGGCCAGATTTCCATCATCACTTCAAGTTCGGCCTTTCCACCAATCAGTTCTGCATTTGCAAACATCCACATGTATTTCTAGAAAGATACACATGGTAATCACCTGCCCTCTACAAGGGGGAGGGAACATCATGGATACAGGACAGGGAACATGGTCTTGGTCCAAAGCTATCAGCCCTTGCCTGTCGCCTTCACTTTTTGTAGGTCATCCCATGGACTCTGCTCTATCTTTAGAGATCACTGGCTCAAGTCAGTTCACTATGAGACAGCTGGGAATACTGCCCCAACTTCTGGCTCCACTGCCTGATGACTGAACTGACCTCCAGGCTTGACTCTGGT